CTTAATGAGCAGATCTATTGCAAGTAGTGCTCTAAAGTTCCTCTGCTTCAGTCTTAATAAAAATCCTTTCTGGATTGAGTACTAATAATTGCTCTTATTTGTGTGGGTATGTTTAAGCTACAGATCTGCTGTGTTGACCAGGTCTTAGGACAAGAAGACTCCTGCGTACTTGCATACTAAAACCAGACCGTTTGTTTATTTTTGCTTTTTGGGGGGGTGTGTGTGTGGTGTGGTGTGGTGTTCTTCAGCTTCTGGCCATAGAGGCATCAGACCTGAATGGCCTCCTTTTTTTTTTTTGGCTAAAGATTAGCTTCATATGATGAATTCTACTAGCGTTTTCTTGTTTGTGTTTGGTTTGGTTTAATACTCTGTATTTCTGTATAGTTCATGTTGATTCTTTTGTGGTACTCTCTGTGGTAATTGATATCACCTGTAAGTGTTAACATCTAGGAGAGGTTTTAGTTCTCTTGAGTTAAAACTTACTCAATTTCTTAAAAAAAAAATAAATAAAATTAAAAAATAGTGGTGAACCCACCTACTGCAGGTTGTTTTATTTTACTCCAGGTAGAGTTATGCTTCCCAGGAACCTTAATTTTGCGTTTAATTACATATTTAACTACATAACTCCTTACAGGAATAAAGGGAGTATACCACAGTCCTTAATCAGCTGCAGACTAGCTGGATGGGTAAAAGGCAAGCAATTCTATTTTCAAATTGCTCCAAGACGCCAGAAGAATTCAGCATCGTATCTGTCAACTCTTCCAATAAATCAAGAGAATGTCTCAAAAGCTGCAATTAATTCATATAGTGACAGCAGAGGAACAACATATGAGTCATTGAATAATGCAACCACTGCGAAGAGTGGGATCATTCCAGGTAGAGTAATGTTTTATCATTTGAATACTGAGTGTTTTAACTCCTCAGAAGCCTTGTGGGTGTTTTGGGGTGTGTGGGTTTTTTTTGGTGTTTTGTTTTGTTTGTTTGTTTCTTTTGGCTTCTCTTGAGGAAACTTGCCTGTGACAGCTATAGCAATTGTGATGATTGGACCATCATAATCTGTCTACCACAGAAGAAAGTAATTCTCAGGATCCCAATTTATCAAGGAAAAAGGAAAAAATTTCCCTGGTAAACAATGAAAATCTACATAATGGGGTAAATGAGCAAAGAGAAGATGCAAAAGAAGAGCTGATAAATGAGGCTGTTATTGCTAGAGAAACTGTCATTCCACCCAGTGGAAGAACATTTATAGAGGTTGTATGCACTGCCACGTAAGTATTTATTTGTTCTGACTAGCTTAATGCGAATAAATCATAAAAACGGGTTCCATACTTTGCTGATTCATGGCACAGTTAGCCTTTAGTGTAATATTAAGTAAAACTATATATTAGCAAATGATGTAGAGAGATATACTAGAGTTTGAAAGTAGTTAGCATTTTCAATACTTTGTTGTCCCAAGAAAATGATAGGAACAGTAAATGAGGAAATACATTGGGAGTAGTTAACTCTGGTAGAAATTAGAAGATGATGAAGGAAATAGCTGCAGCTGGTTATATTCTATTTGGAAAAGCAGCTGCTCTGGGAGCAGTATGTGTAGATTTGCTGGGGATTTCTGTTCTGTTTCTTTCAATCTCTCTACCCTGAAATCATCTTCAAGTTCCTGTCCAAATTTCTTAACTTCTCTGTCCTGTAGTACTGAATGCCATTCAGCTGTGCTGGAGGGAGAAAAGGCTTCCTTCCATTGAAGTGTTGTTCATAGGGAAAAGAGAAGAGCCCTTGAAAAACAGAAGTACTGTGCTGTACAAAGTTTATCTTTAAGTCATTAAGAGATGAAAAGATTTGGCATGGATTTTTGTGATCATCTTCAGATTTCAAGAAGGAACCTTGTGCTGGAAAGCTTTCTTTTATATACTTTTGGGTACTTGAAGCTGTAGCTCCCACAAACTTTTGGTACCACATCTGTTGATCTTTACGACCATCATTTAAAGGTTGGACAGGGAAAAGCAAAATCTTTTTTTTGTCTTTTTCTTTTTTTTTTTTTTCCCATTCTTGTGAGCATTACTTCTATTCCAGTTTTAAGTGGTGATACAGAAGGTCAAAATTTGTGTAGGGGAATTGCATAGTTCCAGTTGCGAAGGTAAACCTAGGCAGGGCCTGCCATTATGGAGAAAGGCATGTATATAACAATTTATATCACTGTAGAACTGTAAGTGTCACAAAATCCAAAAAATGTTTTTTAATAGTGTAAAATGATCCACATAACTCCATAGAATGCAGCATGAAGATTTGACAAGTATTTGCTGACTTCTGCACTTAACTGTAGATGCTGAAAATGTTTATGTGCTGAACCAATGTGCTGTAGATCAAACCAGACTGTTTTTTAAGCCGAGTAAGTCATGGTAGGAAGTGTGAATATCATGATTTTAAAAGCCTATCTTTTGCTTTCTTGAAGAAACCCTGGATACAATAAAGAGCTCCTGTTGCTTGTTTTTTCTGAATTTGTTATTGGACGCTATATTGAAACCACTGTAATAAGTGAAGAAGAATTAAAATTAGCACCTGTGGAACCATTTTCTCCAAGAAAGTCTAATATTGTCCCCGTCCCTCAACAAAAGACAACGGTAGTTGCAACTAACTACAGAAGGTACTGTGAACTAGAGCCAAAAATGTTAGCAATGCTGTACACAATATATAAACACAATAAATATTAAGCATAAAATGCTAAACACAGATTTTGTGAATGTCTGTTCTGTAATACAAAGACTCCCGTATTTCCTTTGTCAGTATGTTATATATGTACATTGTAAACAAGATAATTGTGGCTTTTACTGACAAAGTGGTTGGTTGGTGTTTTTGTTTTGTTTTTTCCTCGCCTATACCTAGGAATTTCTTCATAGCCTTTTTTATATAGGAGCTCTTTCCACTGCCTAATGCAGGGATAAACTTTTTTAGAGCTAGATTATTCTGCGGCACCACAAATAAGTTGTTAGTGTCATTTAAAAAAAAAAATCATTTTCTGAGAGTAATTTCTCAAGTAACTTCTCAAGCAGCTTCACAGCTGTATCTAATTCACTAGTTTTTGTGAGCAGGAACATTCATTTGGAAGAAATCTCTTTTTTTGCAAGTGAACTTTCACAATACATATAGTATTTACATAGTTACAAGAATATCTCTAACCTGCATGCAGGTTACATGCAGGTAGGTACATGATGTTTTAAAGTCATTTCTAACTGCAGCATTTTGTTTTCATCTCAATGTAGCAAGTTGTTAATTGTCACTAGGTTTAGCATGTCTCTTTATTGCCTTCATGATAGGGCATGCTACTTAGCTGCTCAGCCCATACAACTTGAGAATGCTAAATAATATGCCATATTTCTTTTGTTTTAGAAATTGCAGAAGGCAGTTGCCAAGCTTTCTTCCCCATTATACTATACCAGATGGATTAAGAAAGTGTGTGGAGCAGAAGTTGGACATACTCACTTTTCAACCCCTCCTTGCAGAGGTACACAAGTGTGTGCTTATGTAAGAAAATATACTTTATGTAGGTGTTGTATTCGTACTGGCATTAATTTAACAAAAGGTGCAACTCTAAGTATAACAGAATATTAAAGTAATATAACCAAGAAGATTAATGTTTTAATCTATATCCCTTAACCTAAGTGTGTTTTAGTACATCTCAGAATCTAAAGTTTGGTGAATGCAAAAGGTTAAATGTGGGAAGATGAAAGGAATCGGAAATACACTGCAGAGTGATATTACAGCAAGCTGAACAAAGTCACTATTTAAGCATCCTCAGAAAGTGTTTGGTATCATAACTGTAGTCCTGCTGTATGTATTGTGAAAGGGAGTTGCTAAAGTTGTTGTTTTGTTAACGCTCAAGTGTATTTCACCACAGTTTGCACAGATTCTTCTTGCAAGTGTGTGTGTGTGTGTGTGTGTGTGTGTGTATATCTCCTGCAATTTCAGAATATATAATAAGAGGATCAGAAGTCTAGTAAAAATCTTAGTGAATTTTTCTCCAGAGCAGTAGATTTTGATTCCTAGTAGGAAACATTGCAGCCACTCATTTTTCTTGAGGACTAGGGTTGAATAAAAGGTAAAAAGCAAACGGTTTGGTTTTGGAACATCTTGTCTAAAAAAATAGAACTGAGGTGTTGGCAGTGAGCCTGTGTGGGGTGTTTTTCTTCTGTTTTGTTTTTCTTTGCTAGTCATTGTTCAGACAGTGCTGTGTTTCTGTTGCTAGAGAATGTGGGAGAAAATTTAGGTACTTTCAGATCTGTCATAAATCATAAGCATGAGACACACCAGTGACTGACGTGATTTCAGCCCTTCACCTGTGTCTGTTGAGGGAACTTAGTTGTGGGTGTGTTTTTTTTTTTTTTTTTTTTTTTTTTAATGTTCTGTGGTTGCTGAGCACAGAATTCAGATTACAGACTGGCCCCAGCATCTAAGTGCTGAAACTCTCATGGTAGTCAGGGGAGACTTGGATAACCCTTCAGCTGCCTGCTGCCTATTATGTCTAGCTTCTAAATCTACATGAATCCTGCAAATTCTGCACACAACAGGAGTTTAAAAGTTCAGCTGGCTGGTAGATAACTGTGTTTTGGTACCCTAAGTAATAAGCTGCTTGCTGTGCAGTCTGTCTGAAGAGCTGTTTGGTAGAACATGTAGAACAGTGGGGCCCATATCTGAGCAGAAGCTACAGTGGTAATGCATGACATTTTGTTTTTCAGCATCTTAATCTAGATAATTATAAAGCAAACTTCTCTACTCTCTTGTGGCTTGAAGAAATCCATGCAGAAATGGAATTAAAAGACTATAGTATGAGTGGGATTACTTTGAAAAGGAATGGAAGCTCTTTGGTTTTGGAAGTGCCAGGAGTGGAAGAAGGCAGACCCTCCTTGAACATAGGTAGGTAAAGATTAGTGTGAATCTTGCATAGGTAAAGATTAGTGTGAAATGAAGCTAAATAGCATCTTCATTGGTGTCCTGAGTGCAGTACAAACTGCAGCGTGTTACTGCTTGTTAAAGCAGCTTGTCACATACTTGAACACAAAATTAATCCAAGCTACCAAAAATATAAACTGACACTGGTGTCTCACTGCAGTGGCTTGCTATATGAGGAAGCACTGCACATGTCTGTAATGCTGTTCTGAGGTCTCCACATCTTTTCATGTACAAGAATTAGTAGGACTTTTTCCATAAAATCAAGCTGTGCGGTGTAGTCATGACTAGGAGGCAAGAGGTGTTTCAAAACTAAAAGCAAGGGAAGGATTTGGTGTTGAATGCAGAATTTCAAGTATTGATTTACAGAATATTGTTTTCAATAAATGTTCAAGATAGCCTCAATACTAGGTGCTTTTGAAATGTCTTGCAAAATTCACATTCCAATTCAGAACTAAGGTCTAAATGAAGTACTTGCTTACTCACAGATATGGACATACTTTATACTAAAGTTTGTTTGATATCTTGCAAACTCCTAGCTTAACCATGCAAATGAAAGAAAAAAAATATTGCAGTGAGAATTTGGCTGTTTCTTGTAACTGGATGTTGCCTTTTAACTTTGCTTAGGTGATAAGGTGATACTGAAAAGTCAGATCTACTGCGAGCATGTAGTAGAGTATGTAGCCTACATTACAGAGGTAAGCAAACTGTGTCTCCTGTTGGGAAATACTGTGAGCACTGGGGTTCTACAGGGAAGCAGCCGTTCACAGAGGCCACACTGGGGTCATGCAAGCTTTAGTTTGGTTAACTTCAAAAAGCTGCTACCTGGTGGGGTTTTTGTTTGGTTTTGTTTTTTTTATTGTTTTATTTATGCTCTAGTGTCTAGAAAGTTTGTACTTTGTTGTTGTTGTTGCGGCTGTGACATATGGGATGGGCTTTTTGTTCTTAAAACTTTTTAAGCTTCCCTTTTCTTTATAGATTATAACTTTTATCAGCTCTGAAAAGCTGATAAAGCTTTTCAGCAAAAAAGCTACAGGCATTAGGCAATATATTGATAGTAAATCTAATTTGGGGGATTTTTTTTAATATTTTCAAAGATACTTCTATAGATTACTGAAAGCCCCCATCAGTAACTTGACCTGTTTTTTTAATCTTTGCAACAGATTCATAATGAAGATGTTACTCTTCAACTTCATCCCGACTTTGAACAGACTTACAACTCGGAGCCCATGGATGTGGAATTTGTTCATTCCAGGTGTTTTTACAGATCTCCAAATGGATGTAGACACAACTTTTTTTTTTTTTTTTTTTTTTGCTAATTCTTTTATCTCTCTCTCCCAATACAGCTTTCTTGCTACATGTGTTGACATAGTAACAACATTTGCAGTCTTTTTGAAAGACCTTGTGTCTCCCTTTTAATTTATAGATGTTTACTCCTGGGCTAGGAAGTGAAGTGACTGATTTCTGGAGGAAGAAAAAAAAAATGCCAATATGACTGTAAGATTATGAAAAAGGTTGCTATTGTTAGCAGCTTACATTTTTTAATGCTAACAATAACATGTTTCATTTATGGAATGTTATCTGTATTTAGTTGCTTAATCTTCTCTGTAAAATTAGCTCTACATGAAACTTGTTTGACAGACTTAATTCTAGAGACACGGTTCTCTAGCTCTCCTCTGGGACAAAGTGGAGATATATATACAGAATATTATTCATAGCAAAAGCTTTTGATTAACACTTCTGCAATATTTTTTAGTAAGTACTTAGATGATCCTATATAAGATTGTTTTTATTGTTTTATGTATATATGTGTGTGTGAGTACTGGTTCATAGAAAACACTGGCTGATTCGTATGTGTATGCGGTTGTGTTTTATGGAAGTTTAAGCTTTTACTCTAATCCACAAATCACTGTCCTAATAACAGGATTACCAGCCGGCGATGCCAGTTGGCGGTCGAGCAAGCCGTGCATCTGGGTGAAAAAGGTATCTTAATTAAATTTAAACTAGAGATGTTTAGTTGCAGGGAGTCTGTCTGTTTTTGTTTGCTCTCACATTTGAGTAGTGATTCTTCCTGAAGTGTACCAATAAGAATGTATTGTAGCCTGGCTTTAGAGAGGCTTCCTGTTAAATGGCTAGATTGCTTTTTAAGCAGCTATTAGGTTCTGTGTTACTGGAACCATTCCATCTGTTTCCTATCACAGGAGGGCTTTTCACTGTTTTTATGAGCAATTTGCACCAATAAGCAATGTATGTCTACCATTGTAGACCTACATATTATGTGAAATGCCAGGGTTTCCTGCTACCTTAAGATGTATTAAAATGCGTTAATTCAATTAAACAGCTTGTTCACCTAGAGTGAAGTCACACGGCTCTTTCCTACTAATATGTTAGTTCTTACAGACATATTTAGCAACTCAGAGCAAGCCAATGTATCAGCAGAAGTATAATTCACATGGTATGTATAAAGTGTTCATGTGGCTTTCAGATTTATTTCGCTTTTCTCTCTTAATTTAGTGTTGTTTCCAGAAAGGCTCCTTTTACAGTCACCACAAGCAGAATATTCTATTGTTGATGATGGCCTTGAACAAGGTTTCAAACAGGAAATTAAGGTAAATGTTTCTTGAAATACTTAGAGCACTTAATGCTTACAGATTAATAAGATAACTACTGTTGTAGCTGTTACTCCTGTAATAAGGCATTGAAAAATTGAAGTTGTGTTCTGCTTTCTGATGATGTAAGTATTGGTTTTCTGCTGGGGAAGAGAGAGGGGAACAAGTGACGACAATTAAGCTACCACTCCAGAGATGGAGATTTCACTGTCCCTGGATGACCTGTGCCATTGCTTTACTTTCACAGACCTCTGTTGATTCCCATCCTTCTCCTTCTTTAAATATCCAGTCTAAATTTTTCAGGTGAAACTTGTGAGTGTTGTCCCTTGTATGCTGCTACTAAGAAAGGTTTGGATCTGTTGTTTTTTGTAACTCGTATGTAGGTTGCTGTAGTTTATTAATGAGACTGCCTTTTAAACTTCTCCTTACCAAACTAAAGTTTAGATCTCTGAACCTGTCCAGTTCATCCTGAGCACATCCTGTGGGCACATACACAGTTCTAGTACAGACACTAGCTCTGGGTCCTGAAAAGGGCCTGGGAATTACTATGCACCTAGTCGATATTCAGACTATATTGACTTGTGCAGTGCTCAAACATGCAGTGCTCTTCCATTCTACTTCTCCTTACTGAATTTCATGAGTTTTCTTCTGACTCAGTTGTGGAGTCTCTCAGGCTTTCCAGGGATTGATGATATATCATCTGGCATTTCAGCGTGACTTCTGCTTTTGTGTTTTCTGCAAATTTGGTAAGGGTATGAGTCTTATTCCATTCACTGAGGAAAGATAATACCCCCAAAATGTCTGTAACCACTGATTTCCAGTAGAGTATCCACATAGTTCAGTAGCTAAGTCAATTTTCTCACCCAGCTAGCAGTTGGTTTGTTCCTCAACTCCCAGCTGATAATGCCATGGTAAGTACGCCATGTCAAAAACCTTGCTGAAATCAGTGAAGTAACAAGTAATTACAACTGCTGGGTTTTGTTTGTCTACCTGATCAGTCACTTCATCACAGAAGGAAATAGGGGTTGAACACCCAAGGTCTGCCGCTTGGAGTAGCCTAACTGACTATTTCTGCTGAACCCCCTTCCCAGCCTCCAAGGAGGGAGGAGAGCATTGCCTGCACCCCTGGTGCCTGCCCTAGTGCTCTGTCTCGCCTTGAGGCCTTGCTTTACTCAAGCCGTCATTAATGCCCTTGAGGGTAAGCAACAGAGGTATCAGAAGGGCAGTTAAGCCTTGCAGCCTTTCTAAGACATCGTGGATCTGGGCAAGCAGCAGACATTGCTGGGTGATATGTTTGGCCATCAAGCAAGGAGAAACCAACCACTAGTCACTTCACTGGATTAGGATCAGTATTACTAATAAAACTGAGTTACCTAGCTCAGCAATTTCTCCTCCAGCAGAACTCATTTGAACCTGTTTCAGAAACTTTAAATATAAATTGGGAGCTCTTGGTATCCTTTCATTCTCTGTTCCATCTTCCTCTCTTTCCAAGATACCCTATATAATGAGATAGCATTATCTTTTATTTGCAAAAATAAAAACCCAACAACTTGAAAAGCTATTAGTGAAGATAGTTGCAGATCACCTTAAGGTTTACCTTTAGCTTGATGATATTTTCAGGTCAAAAATCTACAGAGCAATCAGACAAAATGCACGGCGCCAGGGGAGATGATGACCATACCGGATGCAGTCACGGTTCCATCCGAAAGAAGTCAACCTGGTATATTTTAATACTTTACATTTAAGTATAGCAAGCTCAGGTTTACAGTTACTTCAGTAAATCAGAGCTCGTTAGGTGCTTTTAGATGCCTTCCAGCTCTGCCTTTTTAAGAAACTGTAAAGTTTTCGTGGCAGAAAATTTCCTATTTAGAACCCCCTTCAGTTCAGTAGGTAGCTAGTGTAATATTTTGTGGTCAGTTATTTATCTGTACTTTACACAAGCAGTACTTTACCAAGAAACTGTAATCATCACACAAAATATCTTATTTGTTCCTGCAACAGTATCTCATTTTGGGGGTAGACTGTTTTTTTAAAAAATACTTAAAAACTTGACAAAGGTTTCAGAAAATACAGGTCATTCATATGCTTGTCTGGAAAGTGTGACTTAAAATACTAATGCACTTGATTTGGTAGAGTGATTTTTATCACGTTATAACAGTAGAATCCCTTAATGATTTGGGAATGCCTGAGCCACTTCTGTAGAAAGTACTGTCCTGAAAAGCTAAAACCCATCTAAAGGAAACAGGAGCAGTTTTCTTATTTACCATTTGTCACTAGGACTGGTACTATCCCTTAAAAGTTGCTTTTTAGCAACTTTTTTTCTAACCTAGGAAAAAAAATGCGGGTTAGAATATACAATTTTCATAGGGTGTTTTGGTGCATTATTGCAGTCATTTTCTGTCCTTGTATTTTTGTAAAAGATACAAAAGATACACTTCTGAAATCTTAATGGCTATTTTCTATATGCTTGTGAAGTGAGATTTTTTTCAAGGTGCTTCATAAAATATTACTGCTTGAAAAATGAACTGTTCTTGATTTCAGCCTAGATTGCATTAATGTGTGTATGTTAAAACTGTTTTTGTGTAGTTTTAATGTGTGCTTTTCTTACTGGCTTATAGGCACTGAAACTGTGACACCTAAGCAGGTAGCTGGCCACTTTTTCAATCCGCTGCTGAATGAGCACCAGAAATTGGCAGTGAGAAGGATACTGACTGGTGAATGTCGTCCAACTCCTTATGTCCTTTTTGGACCACCAGGAACAGGAAAAACATTAACAATAGTTGAAGCTATTTTACAGGTAATAGTGGAAGATCAATCAATCATCTCATCCTTTAAACGCCTAAAGTAATTCTGCAAGTACAGTTATGATTTGCTCCTGAATACAAAGGGTCTTTGAAATTTTCCTTTCAAAATACCTCTTTATAGTTAAGTAAAAGGCGAAAGATGTAGGTATACATTTGTTAACAAATTTCTAGATGACTTATTTTCAAAGCTTCATATTTTTGAATTTTTAAAGCTTAAGTAAATAGTATTTAACAAGTGATTGCAGTGCTGCATAGTAGGCTTATGAAGCACAGATATATTTTAATACTCAGCTTTTAAGCATTGGACAGTCTTGACTCTCAAGATTGGTGCTTTCGAACTGCAGAGAGGTGAATCATGTTTATTCAAAACTCTTCTGAATTTCATATTCAATAACTATGAAAGTACATGGATGTATATTTGAGTTACTGCTACTTGCTTAAGCCATTGCTACTTACTAAATATCCTTTTCTGTAAATGTCTTTCTTTTTAAATGTAGATACATTATACTTTGCCAGACAGCCGAATTTTGGTTTGTGCACCATCAAATACTGCAACAGATCTAATTTGCTTGCGGCTGCATGAAAGCCATCTGTTAAAACCAGGCAGCATGGTCAGAGTTAACGCGAGCTGTAGATCTCCAGAGGTAACTGTACAGATAACTTGGGTAATAACTGTAGTTAATATTTCCATGTTCACATTTGGATTTTAATATATCATTTTAATAACACACAGTTGCTGTTTCTTAGGCTGATTGTCTTTGCTTAGGATCCAGATTCACTGGAAACTGTTCATCATAGCTCAGAATGCAGCTGTCAGCCTAGGATCTGAGCTTAATTCTTGTAGTGCATAACTCTACTAGTTAGCACATGATGTGTCAGTGGGATTACTTCATGTGATAAAATTCTTTAAATCGTGAAACAGTCCCAAAATCTCCTATTCAAGTCAAGTTTTACATCGCCAAAATAAGACTACTTACAAGGAAAAAAGAACAACACAAAAGTGAACAAGTAGGACTGTCATTTTGCATCCAGATTGCGTGCCTTTGTATATATACATATATGTTTAATTTTTGTCCTTAAAATCAGGAAATCATTCTGTGATGCTGTGAAAGTGTGCACTATTCTATTCAGGCAAATTTGTGAAGAATTCATTTCTGTGAATGATTAGATCCAAACCTAAGTCTTAACTTCTAGAATGAAGTTCTTAGCAGTCTTTTTTCTTTTTTTTTTTTTTTATGTTTTTTTAAACATTTGTGAAAATGTTTAGTTCGAGTGGCATCTTATTTTACAGAATTCTTTGCTGTTGTTTCTGCAGCAAATTGATGATATAGTAAAGCCTTACTGCAGAGATGGCGAAGATATTTGGAAAGCATTATGGTTCAGGATAATAATTACCACATGCAGCAGTGCAGGGCTCTTTTACCAAACTGGAATACGGTATAGTATATTATATATGAATATTGCTGAGATTTTGTAATAATCCGAATGAGATTTCCTCCCCACTATAAATTAAGCAATTTTAATATTTTTTTTTCTTTTGTTTTATTTTTTTAATGTGCCTCTGTTTAGACATTTCTGAGTCTGGATGGTTTCTCACTGAAGTTATTGTTTTTAGCTGAGACTTCTTCTATAATGAATTTAAGAATTAGCTTGAATAACTCTAAAAATTCTTGATACAGTATTGGCCTAAAAGCATTTTAAGGGTTCATACTAAAATCATATTGTACTTAGCTTTTCATCAAGTCACCTTTACTAGCCATAAAAATAAATAAAGTGCTATTAACTAAAGATTCTTGTGTGATTATGGTTTTACTTGTATAAAATGACACGTTTAATATAATTTGTACATGTTGTTTTTCAAGAATAGTGCCTAAGGGATTGTCCATGCCAAACCAAGTGTGTTATTCCAATTAAATAGCCAGAGGAAACTGATAACAAGGAGGAATTTTATAAATGTCATTAAAATGTTTTATTTCAGCAAGGTTATTAAGATGAGCAGTGGCTGTGTATATCAGAGTGTGTAAAAGAAATAACAGATGAGGTCTTAAACTTACTAGGCTGCTTCTTCTGACTTCTGTGCTGATACTTCCTGTGGAGTTTTATTGATGCAAAACAACTTGGCTTGAGCCAAGAATGCAGCGTAATTGCGGAGCCCAACCACGGGGTGGCAGAATGAAATAATCTGAAAACAGCCCTGTTGGGGTCATGTTCTTTAACCGTAGGCTTGGACACTTCACACATGTCATTTTGGATGAAGCAGGGCAAGCAAGTGAACCAGAGAGCCTGATTCCCCTTGGGTTGATTTCAGAAGCTAATGGACAGGTATTTCTCTTGGCATCGTCTTCTGAAAGCATAGAAGTTCTGATTTCTTTTATCATTGTGAATGATGTCAAATGATTTCTGATTACTTCAGTGGAAGTTCTCATTTCTTGGTAATGAATATGAAAAACTGAGTGCTTGTAATGGATTCTATTAATACATGATTTTACTAAATTCTTATATTTTGGGCACAGTGTCCATTTCACATACTTAAAAATAGCTGACTTGCATCTTAAAAAGTCTACTTTGGAAGTACAGGATACATATTGTAGAATATAATAAAAAATCTTATATTAAGCTCTATTTATTATAGTATCGCATTATTCCTAGGGCCTAGACCACCTTCACAAAAAAAAAAAAAAAAAAAAAAAACTTTGGAGGAAAGCAGAAAATACAAATTGACTTTTAGTTCTGAAATGACAAACTACTATTTTAATCACAATTTTTTAATACAAAATTTTGTTAACTGCATTCACAGATAGTTCTTGTTGGAGATCCAAAGCAGTTAGGGCCAGTAATAAAATCTGAACTTGCAGTGGCTTTTGGACTGAATGTATCCTTGCTGGAAAGACTGATGTCACGATCTATGTATCTGAGAGATGAGGATGCCTTTAGGACCTATGGATCATACAATCCTTTGTTGGTGAGTAAGTCTTTTTTCTTTTCTTGAATTAATCATAGAAGAAACTGTGGTTCCTATTATTAGTTTTCTTACCAGCTTTTTACTCCCTAATGGTTTTTTGTTTTCTTAAGTTCTCTATTTTTTAAGCAAAGTCAAATATGATAGAACACGTAATTGTAAATGCTGGCTGAAACTTTCATTATCATTGGCTAGACTTACTTACTATAGCTTCGTCTTTGTAACTAATTCTCCACAGAAGCAGCAACACAGCTTCCACATGTAATATGAAAAGACAAACAAAACCTTTTCCTTAAACATGCATAGATAATTTAGCAGAACTGTATTCTGGAAAGGAGCGGGGAAAGTGCTTCTCCATTTCCCATTTCTTTATTTATATCTCGCTGGATGAGTGCTTTCTCTTTGTTTGTTTTTTCATGCACACAAGAGTGAAAAAAAACAATGTTTACAGAGTAGCTGGAAATACATGTGGCATATAAAGATAAAAATTATTTTTGCTTACATGTTGAAACAATATCTAGCAGCCCCAAACATCCACCTGCAATATCGGAAGACTTTAGAAGCTAATTCTGAGCAGAGTTCCCTAATGGTAATTATAGGATTGTAGTGGGCACAAGCATATTTAAAAACCTTGGTAATCTGTCGAGCTGGTAACCTCTTGATATATCTGTGACCAAAATAATCCCTTCATACCATTCTGAAGTACAGATTTGAATTGAAGATTCTCTTACATGGGTCACCTGTAAGAGGAAATAGTTCTGGAGAGTTACCCAATGGATGGTCTAGCCTGGTCTTACTTTGTTCCCCTGCTTAACAATAAAGGCCAACATGAGGCAAAGGACTGAAAAGTTAGGGGCAAGAGCACAGTTGTCTTCATCCGAGGTTTAACTGTCCAACTCTACACATGCACGTTGAAAGTTTTTTTTTTTTCTTTTACCCATGTGGATTATTACTGTTTTTCTGCTGCTTTGTTTTAGCTAAGTGTTAGAGTTAGCGTTCATGATTTGTTCCTACAATCTCTCAATAATCTTGTGTGATGAAGTACCTGAAGTCCCAGAGATAACATAACTCATAAGTGAGCACAGATGTTTCTGCTCTCTCAAGTTCTTGTCTCAATCTGAAATACAAGGCTGTTTCTTGGAGTACTAGAGTCTGGAGTATCAAACTCAAATGGAAATCAAGGGATGGCCAGGTGGGCAGAGGAGGAAATCTAGTGACAAGCTTAAGGAGAGTTAGGAGGATCTGAAAATCTTGTCACATCTCCTCCTGAAATTTTACAGTAGCAGACTTCCATTTTTGTCTTCTTTGCACAATGCTGAGGGAGAATTGGCATTTGTGAGAGTTAAAGAGCAAAAAGTGAAGGCTTTCAGGATCTTTTTTGACTTATGTGTCATATCTGTCTTTTTATCAGATATAACTTTGTAGAGCTAATGATTATTGACTGTGATGCTCTGGTAACATCCTTAATGCTGTTTATTCATTTAAAGACAAATAGAAAGGTTCTGTGGTTCCAAGGCCAACTTCTGATAGCTGCTCAAGCTTTAGGCTTTCCGTAAGACTATCAATACATTGTCCTAGCTGTAGGGGCTGTCATCTGTGCCCTGGGCTGCCCAAGGCCTTTGCTTCACACTGTCATCAAGGCTTCCTTCACACACAACCTCCCTGCCAGTCAAAATGTTCCCCCAAAACAGCCAGTTTATTAGAAACCCAACAGAATGTATCCGATTTGCACTAAAAAGAGGATGTACTTCTCGATTAAAGGTCTAAAAATGGAGAATGGCTGTGTCATCTTACAGATTTCTTTTTAAAGAAAAAATGGTGGTAGTAGTAGTAATATAATATTTGTTTATGGAAGATCACAGGTACGTTTTTTGCTTTCAATACAGTCTACTGTCAGCTTACCAAAAAAACAAAACCCCTATAATCGCTGTTCATAGGGGTTTTTTCTGCATTAGAGCCATGTACCAAGAAGCCTGATGAATAATTTGTGTTTCAGCTACTGATTTGGAGTTTGGTCTTTGCAGATCACAAAGCTTGTGAAGAATTACAGGTCGCACTCTGCATTGCTTACCTTGCCATCTAAATTGTTTTATCATAAAGAGCTGGAAGTTTGTGCAGACACTTCTGTAGTAACTTCTCTGTTACACTGGGAAAAATTGCCAAGGAAGGGCTTTCCGTTAATTTTTCATGGAATACGGGTATGTAAAATGTTCATATAGTTAAGGTGTGGATAATGAGGCCTGATAGAAGTTTGCTGATGTTGTAGACAGGGGAGATTGTAGGGAGCAAGGGGCCAAATTCTTCTCAGTGGCCAGTGACAGGGCAAGGGGCAGTGGGTGTAAATTGAAGAAATACAGGAAGTTCCATCTGCATGTGAGGAAGAACTTCCTTCCTGTGAGGGTGCCAGAGCCCTGGAACAGGCTGCCCAGGGAGGTTCTGAAGTCTCCTTCTCTGGAAGTCTTCAGAACCTGCCTGGATGCCACCCTGTGCTCTGGGTGTCCCTGCTGGAGCGAGGGGTTGGACTAGGTGATCTCTAGAGGTCCCTTCCAACCTTAACCGTTCTGTGATTCTCATATATAAACTTGGCATATTGAAAAAGAAAATAGATGATCCAGAAGTCATACTCCTTGAATGTATCCTAGGAACTTGAGCATCTGCCCATTGCAGTGCATTTTAGAGACATTTTGATTATAAATTGAAGTTCTTAACAATAAATAAACCAAGGTGGGGCTCCAGGCAGCAGTTTTTATATTGTCTTTTGATGTGAATTTCCCATGCTGGAACGAATATAAACTATTAAAACACTGGGATTAGAGCAGCTAGAGAATCTAGCCTGAAAGCAAGCAGGAAAAATACACTGTTTTGAAACGTTTTCTTTAGTATTCCAGTAAGCTAGTAAAATAACATCTGATCTACCTTTTTCTAGAGAAGCTTGTTTCTTGACTCTTCTATCTGGCACAGAAGCAAGGTGCTAGGCTGCTAACCCCTGTTTTTCCAAGTAGACCTCTAATTCCCGTGCCACACATTTAGATCACTGTCACCTTAGAAATCTTTTAGCTAAAAATTGAAAGAGAACATTAGGTGGAGCGTGTTTATTGGGAAGAATATAGAGCAGAGAGACCTGGGGTAATGTTACATCGCACCATCCAAGCACCCTTACCAAACCCACTCTTACGGTGTTAAGGATGTACAGTGGTCTTGTCACTTGGCATACCTGGTTTCTATCTTCTAACTTTTTGTCCCCGAACTCAGGGCAACGAAACCCGGGAGGGTCACAGCCCCTCGTGGTTTAACCCGACGGAAGCCGTTCAGGTGATGCGCTACTGCTGCCACCTCGCTAAAAGCGAGCGCAGCGCCGTGCCAGTGGCCGACATCGGCGTTGTGGCGCCCTATCGGAAGCAGGTACGCCTGGCTCCTGAAAGCCTGGAACGTGCTGTGTTCTGTCCTGTGGCTTTGCAGAGTTGCTGTGGCTCGTTAAAGCAGGGAGAGAGATCTCAAACTTCACTGTATGCCGTGTTACATAGTGTTTTATCAGTCCATTAATGACATTTCTATTGAAGTCTATTCTAGGGAAAGATGACAGTAATGGTATTCTGATTTGCTTGATTGTAAAATTCAGCTAGTGATTAGTTGGAGATCTGCTTGCAGTTGGAGGTAGATATAAACTTTTACAGTTATTGGGGGTAAATAATGTAACTCGCTCTAATATCCACAGTTGATACAAGTAGAATATGCCGAATAAGTGATCCAGTTCTATCAGTCACTCTGTATTGAAGGGTGGAACAAAAAGGAAATGTAGTGAGTGGTTGATCAAAGGTGACTGTGTGGCTTTGAGGAAGCTGAAGGAATTAGCTAAGAGGATCCTAGCCTGCATCAGGAGGAGTGTTGTCAGCAGGTCAAGGGAGAGGATCCTGCCCCTCTACTCAGCTCTGGAGAGGCTGCATCTGGAATATTGGGGGCAGTTTTGGGCTCCCCAGGACAAGAGGGATGTGGAGCTTCTAGAGAGGGTCCAGCGTAGAGCAACAAAGATGATTAAGGGACCTGAACATCTATTGTATGAGGAGAGACCACGTGAGATGGCTCTGTATAACCTAGAGAAGAGAAGACTTATAGGAGACCTCATCAATATGTATAAATACCCGAGGGGAGAATATAGGGAAGATGAGACCAAACTCTTCTTGGTGGTACCCAGTGGCAGGACTGGGCATAATGGGTACAAATGAAAACACAGGAAGTTCCATCTCCATATAAGGAAGAACTTCTTTCATGTGAAGGTGACAGAGCCCTGTGTGGCAGATGTGCTCCTTCCCCACTTCAGCCTGACTTTTCACATGTAGCCCTGTTCAGGTGTTAACAACCAGTGACACTATCTGATCCTGGTAGACACCTCCCTAATTTCTTCCCACGCTCAGACATTAAACAGCAGTAATAACCCTGATGGCTGCATCCTGATGGGGAGATAAGGTTGATTGTACAGACACCAAGCAAAAGTTTTCTGAAATGAAAGAATGACTGTAAGTCAGTCATCTTACCCCATAAATATGGGGACAGCCCGAGAGCCCTTTGAGTTCTCCTCGCATGGCAGCGGGCTGCATGCCAGGATTTCCCCTTGAGCAGGAATGCCTCTCATGGATGTTCCTCAGGGTTGAGAGATCCTTGCTGCAACAGATCCATGGTAAGTGACTATAGCACGCTCGCTGTCTGAACTTAGGAACTTCTAACTGTGCACAAAATCCATTAGTCATAAACCGTTGACCAGGTCTGGGACTAGGATTGGATCCAACCGTACCCAGACTCCTCTCATAAGGAGTTTAGAAAGCCAGGCGGGGACGGTCTGAACCTCATGGCTCGAAGAGATGTCGTTGTTAATTGTGTATTGTCTTGAACCTCCATGCAGGAAATAATAAGTGACTTTGCCATACAATCTCATGAAACCATTGTCCATATCAATAAAACATATTTCTGGTAGGTGGAAAAAATAAGATACCTTCTGAGAAGTATTGATTTGGAGGATATTAAAGTTGGCTCAGTAGAAGAGTTCCAGGGGCAGGAGTACTTGGTTATCATCCTATCAACGGTACGTATTCTGCTGCAGTTCTTCTTAGAGGCTTTTTAGTCTCTAAATTCTTTTGGGTTTTTTTTTTTTGCAATACAGAGCTTAAAAAAAAACTGTATTTTTGTCAATAGTCTATCAAAGTATTTTTGGGGAGGGGAAAATACTAACTTACTCTTAGAAACATAGAACCATCACAACATTGTTAAAATTGTAGGAGTTTTTTAAGTCTTTGTAGGTATTTATACTAATTTATTTCACAGGCAGAGTTTCATGCAGATAATGTACCTTTTACTTAGGTGTACACAGGGAGAATGAAAACTGCGTTTTAAATACTGCAGAGAAAACTCTATAAGTCATAGTAATAATAAAAAGTAATTCCTATTTGACTTACTGAAATTGATGTAGATCCTTATATCCCTTCCCCTCAGCTTGAGTGTCATCACTTAATTGCCTCCAGTTGGCAGTTTCCCAGTCACCAGTTGTCACTTGTGCCTAGAAGCTGAGTAGTCCTTTACTGCTGTTCATTTGGCATTGAGCATGGACTCAAATATAGCAAAATAAATGAGCAGTTGCACTGTGCAGTGGTCACAGACCCCCATCGGCTTCAGGGGCAGTTTCTTCCAAGTGGACTCAGGGCTCCAGGCTATTGAAGATGGTTGCGAAAAGGCATCTTGTGAATTCTGACTGTGCCGTGGGACCTGCAGGGCTTGCAGCTGGGGCGGTGCTTCTACAGAAAACACAAGATTTGGTCTCTGCTTCTTCTCATTCTTAAAATACTATTGTTGCCACGTAGTATTTTAAGCTGCAGCGGTCAGCCCCTCTGCGGAGAGCGTCCCAGAGCCATGCCAGTGCACAGCACTTGTGTGGGGTTAGCAGGCTCCTGGAGAACAGGCCTCTCACGGGAAAACCAGGGGGGAATTCACTTAGCTACCTGGAAGTTGGATGGATGAAGCTGGACCGCCCATGGCTCATGCTAAGCAGTAGCTGCTGCCATAATCGAGTAATGCTAAACCTACCCTATGGATAGGTAAGTTGCTTTCTTATTATTCTGTTTCTAAAATTATCCATAATTAATTTTAGGTCCGGTCTAAGGAAGGCTCCTTTTTTGATGAGAAGTGCTGTTTGGGCTTTCTCTCAAACCCAAAGCGATTTAATGTAGCAGTTACCAGGGCCAAAGCTTTGCTGATCGTGGTGGGAAATCCTCATGTCCTTGTAAAAGTAAGTGGCTTTTAGATCTTGGAGCTGCGTGTGGTGTTTGCCACGTGAAATGATTGATTTGGGGTCCATTTAATGGGATGGAGCATTTGACAGTGTCTGAGCTCCACTGGCTTCTCTGAACATGGCTGGTTTAGGCACCTGTGCAGTAGAACTACAGGCACAGACTGAATCTTGGGGTTGCTGTGTGCCAGGGAGCACCTCCCCGCTGCCGCTCTCTACCAGTGCAGGTCTCATCCAGGTGTTTGGAATGTCCTTGCACACCTCAGCCTTGGACTCCTGCTCCCCCCTTAGATTTCTTCACAAAGTGGAGCTGCCTTGTTTTTGGGAGATGAGAGTGACGGCTGCCAGTTAATGTAACCCCTTCCTAGGTCACTAGGCTCCTCCTTGAGCCTGGCCATAGCCTTTCTTGGGCTAAAGGTGTTTTGAGCTGCATGTTTCATACATGTATCAAGTGGTTAATCAAAGTGGGAATGCTTGTCATTGTGGAAGTATGCAGGGGGCATGGGGAGTGGATACTCTAGTTGTTGGGTCAGGAAAAGAATTAAATCTACATTAGATATTAACGTAGTCAAAAAGCCAGTCAACTTGCTGCTGAGTCAAGAGGTCCCTGCATTTTTCACACCTTAATGTGGACTTTAGATAATTCTTATTTCAATGAGCTTGACTTGAGGCTTCTCGTTCCCCCCAGAATGAATTGGACTTAGCTGTGGTCTCCTGCACAAACAAGATGTTCCCTTCTAGAAGCTGTTCTCTGTCCCTGTGGCGATGGAGGAGGACAGCACTGTTCCAGAAATGGTCAGAATAGAAAGTTTTCTCTTCCTCCACCCACACACAGCACATGTAACTCAAGGCAGCTATATTTATCTTCCTCTCATGTAACGTCATGCTAGGACTGTTTGCAGAGGTCTATTTCTGAGAAGGAAAAAGTCCTTCACAGTTCCCTGCATTCTTGTGCCTCGTTACTCTCGTGCTACTCGGTGTAATCTTTTCTTGCAGGATCCCTGTTTTTGTGCTTTGCTGGAGTACAGCCTGAAGAACAGAGTCTATGTAGGCTGCGACCTGCCTTCTGAGCTGGAGCATCTGTATCAGTGAGTGCCTGTTTTTCACTTCAGCTATGTAAGATACAGAGCGGGGTGTTAATCATGCAAAGCCAGCATCTTGCAAAAGATGCTGACCACAAAAACACGTGCTACAGTATTAAAAAGATTTGATCTTTGCGTTCTTTACTAGAAGTGCGGTCTCCCTCACACAGTATGAAGAGTCTGAGCATTAAATACTGGCTGTTGCTGGCTTGAGTCTTTTGTCTGTCCCCAAGTGACGTGTTGTGTATTTAGGCAACACTGATTGGGCTTCATGGGATTTTGCAGGGGGAAATGTTTAAGGTGACTTTACTATAGCCAAAGAAACTATGTGAGAGTTGAGTCGTATGTGTCCCTTCTAGCAGCACAGAGTGTAGTATTAAATGGGTGTGATCTGCTAGATAAACGATATATTTTTTTATCTGAACTGCATTTCTTGTTCATGCAAAGATAATAAAAATGTTTACTTTATCCCCTTTAATTCACAGATGTGACTGATTTTTTTTCTGCGTTCAGAATGCACTCAATTCTCTTCTGCTTAGAAGTGAAGAATGCGTGACAGTAACGTGGTCTTCAGCAAATCCAGAAACTTTGGACGTCGGGAAAATATGTTTTTTGAAGTCATTGAAATTTGCACAAAAGGGTTTTTTATCCTTTTCCTTAGAAATTAGAGAGTTTCCTTAGAAAAACTACTGCTAGTATTTTATACTATCAAATTTGTTTTTGCTTTACTGTTTAAAAAGTTCATGGAAAATGTTGAGGACCTTCCTCTATTAACTTTTCTATTTTTTTCCCAGATTCTTAATTTTCCCCTGATTTTGTAACAATTCCAAAAACAGAACTATCCCAAGAATATATATTTGTCTTATTTTGTTATAGTTTGTTACAATCATATACCCACAATGTGAAGAGGAATTATTCATGGAGAGGCCCACTTGGCTCATGTTGAGTGTCTTCAACCAACCATGTTAAAAAACTCTACTTCTCAGATTTGAAGACTTTTACGTAATATAAATACAGAGCTTAGATCACACAGGATTCTCTCTTATTGTGAACTGCCCTTCAGCAACTCGCTGTGCTGTATGTCAAAGCAATACCTCAAAGAGTGGGGTTTAAAATTTAAAAAAAGGAGTTTGCAGAGATATGCTGTACCTGATGTACCTGTTTTACTTTGCTCACTCCATTAATGGAATTAATTCTGTAACATAGCAGGAGCTCTCCTTGCCCAGGGCTTGCCAGGTTCATCCCGTACTGTGCTGCCCCTTTCAGCTGAGTGTTTGTCCCGCTGTCCTTTCCACATCTTTCCCCACAAGGCTTTAGCAGTAAGTTGGGCCATTAGCCACAGTGCTTAGAAAGTGCCAGCTGTGTACAACTGCCAGCACAGTCTGGGGCAAGACTGTAGCCCCCAGAGAAACAAAATTAGGGGAAAGGGGAAACAAGGGAAGAGTTTTTCTTTCACCTATCCCGCTACGTCACTTTAGTTCACCCCATGCTCTGTGTTTCTTCCCTGTGGTGCAGATACTGCAGCTGCGAATGTGGTGGCCAAGTAGTAAAGGGTCAAAGCCCAGTGGCCCTTGGATCGTACACGGTGTCTGGGAGGGGAGAAGCAGGAGGCGGCGGCGAGTCCCTAGCGGGGCCATTTGGGTGCCCTCGCGGGCCGAGGCGCTCGCGCCTGCCAGCACAGCCCGGCACCTGCTCACGGGGCGTTGTCCAGAGTCAGCACGTGTCAGCATGCTCTGCTCCGAGCTCTTTCATAAAGAACACGTTCTAGTTACTGCCTATTAAAAAGTTTCTTGCAGCTCCTGCCTCAGGTTTGTTCTGTGCAATACCAGGTCTCACAAGTTACATTTTGGGTTAGGGCACGAGCACCCCCTGTGCCAGCCTTGCTGCTCTTAAGAGAAAGGCCCAGGGGCAAGAGCTCATGCTGGCTTTCCTGCAAGATTAATCTCAAACTTCTGCTGAGGATTTCCATGACCTGTGTCTATTAAAGTAGCACAAGCTTAATTACAGTGTGATAATTAAAAACCTCTATGAAGCGGTAAGCTTTAGATAGTAATATTTATGCATGGCAACATAAGCTTCCACAAAAAGTGAAAGACAAAAAAAAAAAAAAAAAATTGCTTGGCAGAAAGCAAATGCTAAAGTTAATTATCTGTTAGCCCCTAGGATGCCTTTTTTTTTTTTTCCCCTCCCTCCTCTTCCTTCTTCTCTCTGTAGGAACTTCTTTATGTGTTACCTGCCCTTTTAAATCCCATTATTACTATTCATAGAAATAAATCTGGTACACTCTTTTGAGGGGAGAAAAAAATCTTGGGAACATGTTCTTTTTGAAAGTTGGAGGAGCTCATTAATTTTCTCCTAATAACTCTTTGTCCTGTACCACCTTTCAGACCTAAAAGGTTTTTTTCCCTGAATTACAAGGGATCTCTTGACAGCCTGCAAAGCAGTTTTGGAAAAGTGCTTAACCTCACCAAGAGCTATGCAGGCTCTGGTGAAGATGGGAAGAAGGGATGTCATTCCTGCTTTTAGCATTACATATTCAAAACTACGTGTGACTTGTTTGCTTTGACATTTTGATTTGCTCCATGCTCCCATTAATGTCTGGGCTGTATCCCATGAGCTTTGTCTTCCCCTTCCTGGGCATCGTTTCCTGCCCACCCACCTCCTGAGTTGCCACTATGGAAAATCTTCTTGAAAACAATGAAGATGAAGGACCTACCCTGCTCCTGAGCAGGGTTTGCAGCAGTTTCTCTTAGCAACCACAGGTCCAGGTAGATGGTTCAGATGCTTCAGCATCAACGTCCTAGTGGTCCTTGGTCATGAGGACCTTTAGGCTCCTGCGATGGAATGAGGAGAAAGGAGACAAAACATTCTGAGGTTGTCATTGCTGGTTAAAATCATTTTTCATATCCTTTCAATATTGTGCAAAAAGATTTACATAATTGATTCCTTTGGAGATGTGCAGAGCGCAGATGGGTGAGCTGCTGCATGGTGGGCAGTGGCACTGACTGAGGGGTGGCTGGAGCCAGTGCAGAGCAGTCCTGCGAGCTGCGCTGCTGCTGTAAATACTTCACCTGATAAAGGCTTTCAGTGTTCATGAAAACCACGTTCCTGTTGCGCTGCTTACAAGGCCAGTCTTGTTCCAAAAAGTGTCTTCGCTGCGTGGCTGTGATTTATGAAGTGCTCTCCATACTCAAAACCCACCAAAGCCAGAGAGTTGGGGTCGGGATGTCTGGAAAGGGAAAGCCCCAGCACTGCTCTCATAGCTCCAACATACACAGGAGAGCGTGAGGCCACTTGTGGATCATGTCCTGCCCCTCGTCCCCCGCAAAGAACATTGAACTCAAGAGCACTAGAGAAGAGCCAAGAGGCTGCTAGAGGCAGCCTGTAAAGCAGCCACTTAACATACACAGATATGGGTGCAGATGAAAATATTAAATGTTACTCAGCTACCTCTGAGACACTACTCAACACGAGAAGTCCAGACGTTTGGGGTAATCGAGGCATGCACACAATAAATACTACGCAGGGTCTCGGGGTGTCTCGGTCTGTTTGACACGGCAGCAAGCTTTGCGGGGTGTTGTGCTCTGCAGCTGCTGCAGCTTTGCCAGGAGCCCTGCGGTCAAATTCCCTGGGATGGCAACAAGAATTAGCTCAATGGACGGTTTCTGCTTTGGAAAGTGATTCCTTTGCCTATTGCTCTCTGCACTTAGATCGCAGCTAAAGTAAAAAGCACTTCTAGTAGTAATATAAAACATTAAAGCTCTATCAGAGTAACAGTCCATAACACGCTTGCTATAGTCTGCCACTGAATATTTTAAGTGTCTTCAAGTTCCCATGACAGTGCTGCCATTTGTCTGCTCACATTAGCTTGGTTAGGGTGAGGGCAGACCAAACATCTGCATTACTCACTTTGCACAGATCTGAGTGATCTGTGAGCAAACCGGACAGGGCGGCGTTGCAGAAATGCACTCGCTGCTGCTGCTCCTCTCCTTGCGGACGCGGGGTGGAGCCGAGGGGCCCCTCGCTGGGCACCAGTGTTTGAGCTTAGCGAGGTGGGGAGCATCTCAGACCCGTGTCTGCAGCCAGAGGCTGCTCCTGCCTGGGCATGGGTAGGGGTGGTGTTGAGGGATGCAGTTTCATCCTGCCATTTCTGCTGGTTAGGCCTGTTTTGGTAAGGGCTGTAGAGGTGCTTCATCAAGCAAAGCTCCATCCCTAACGACTGCGCAGCAATGCTGGAGCTGGGGGCCGCGCCGGGCATGTCATGCGTGCTGTGTGTGCGGATACAGGGAGCTCGGGAGCCCTGCTCAGCCCTTCAGCCTCCTGAAAACTGCTCGATCTAAACTTGATGGGAAAACAAAAATGCCAGAGCAGCTTAAGGTTGTAATTGCCAACCTTGTGGGATCTCGTTTTGAGAGGGGATCTTATCAACATGTACAAATACCTGAGAATGCAGGGAGGAAAGGGCCAAACTCTCCTCAGTGGTGGCCAGTGATAGGACAAGGGGCAGTGGGTACAAGTTGAAACCCAGGCAGTTCCATCTCCATGTGAGGAGGAACTTCTTTCCTGTGAGGGTGACAGAGCCCTGGAAGAGGCTGCCCAGGGAGGTTGTGGAGTCTCCTTCTCTGGAGGTCTTCCAAACCCACCTGGATGCCGCCCCGTGCCATGAGCTCTGGGTGTCCCTGCTGGAGCAGAGGGGTTGGACTAGGTAATCTCTAGATGTCCCTTCCAACCTCAACCACCCTGTGATTTTTTTTCTCATAGAGCTCATATCCCGGTAAGGACATTGGCTGAAAAGGGCAAGGAGTCAAATTCCCAATATGCAGATGACTACATCTGTTATTTAGCATCTTCCAGGACCTTGACTTTACAATGCTGTATGCATTTAAGGCACTTTTCTTCTTCACAGAAAATAGCTCCAAGGTGTCAGGAACATTGTGCTGCCTGTTGGGAAGCTCAGATAAGAGAAGAATGAGTATTCTACATCGTAATAAGAAACAGATTCTTTTAAAAAGCAATATTGTTTTTTTTGCAACCCTCAAAAAAAGGAGCATTAACATTCATTCACAGAATCAGAAACAATTCACTTGCCTCAGTTTTACCAGACTGGCTGTAATTTATACACCATGAATAAAAAGTTGGCTTTTTTTCCGATAGTAATGATAGGGAACACAGAATAAGCCTGTAATGGTAGGGTGTGTTTCCAGCACGTAGTAAGGATTAGGAGTGCAACATAATCCTTTCCCCTGTTTAAATTTCATGATTGAACAAAAGCTTGAATGTTGCTTATGTCTGATATCTTTATCCCAGCGTTTCAGAAGCAGTTTCTTAAGAATTGTTCCACGAGGGCAAAAGGAAGCAGCCCCATTGCAGGAGAGCAGCAACCACCGCGCAGGAACAACCGGAATGACAACCAGGGGCAGGCAGGGAACAAGGGCCTGCGGAAACAGTGCATCTCAAAAGGCCTGGAATTTGACCAAAAGGCACAACTGAGAACATTAGTTCATCTACATTTAATAATTCTTTTAGGGAACACTAAGAGTAATGAAACTGAGAACTAACTTAGGACTAAACAGAAGCGGCTTATCTGTCTTCTGGTTCGCCTACATGTGCAAATATAAATGACTGAAAACTGCTGATCTGGGTTCTCCAGACTGCCTAATTAGTGGAGAGTGTTTCTGACTAATGGATGGTGTTTGGCTTCTTCCTGAAAT